TATATATCCGTATATGTATTGTATTTCAACGCGTTGGAGTGGGTTACCAGCATCTCTCGCTGAACAGATATATTTTGCTTTCAGGCACAGAAGATTAAGTCACTGGAGTGCGCTAGAACTTAGAAGTAGATAGTTTCCCTTTTGGCCTGCGTGCCACGTTTACGTATTTACGCTTTGAGGATATTAGTTAGTTAGCCTGTGCACTTGGGTTCTCTAGCCCAGGTGTGGCATAGCACCCCGAACGCTTGTATTTATATCTTGGGATTTAATAAGATTCTACCTTTATTATAAGTTTTAAATGTGTTGAAAATCTGGGGTGTTACAGTTGGTATCAGAGCTTAAGTTTGACCCTAGGATAAGACTCTTAAGACCGGATTTTAGGACACTAGGCTTGAACTCTAGGTACTTAGGAACATAGGATCCAGGAATCTTAGGACGCGCAGTGAGATTGTGAAACCTACACATAACCTCCCCTCACTTCATCCCTCTCTAACTTAAAGGAACCTCCCCCTACGCTTACTACACCAGGTAAGGGTGCGAATAGATAAGTTTACTTCCACAACTGGGTAACGTACACTTACCCGATAAATCGCCTCGTCCTAACTCCCGTCAAAAGACTTGACAAGGACCCTGACCAAAGAAAAGGAAGATTTGGATGACTACTAAAAGGGACGGACTGCAATACGCACTGCAATACAGTCAGGATTGCTAAAAGGGACGGACTGCAATACGCACCAACCCAGGGTAACCACGATAACTCCCGAGTCAGACAAATGACATGCACCTTCCGACAAGTTGCCTTATCTCGGCAAACCCGGGTTGCGGCAACAACAAACAGGAAGGAGAACTAGGACACCTATTAAAGTAGCGAAGGAACGACACCATTAGTCGAATCCTTGGGTGCAAGGTAAATATATCGCGACACCTTGCGACCCCACCACCCCAATTTAAAATATCATCCGCCCTGAAACCCCAGCATCTTGGTACCCCTATTTGTTGAAAACTCCCACCCGAATCCTTAATTACCTTAAGAGCAAATTCGCAACCGTCATGACCTTGCTCACCCTTTGTTGCGCTTAACCCAAACCCTCGGAAACCCTAAATTGTTATTGCCCTTACTCTAAGTTCATATCCCCACTCCGTTTGGAAACCCTGTTAAAAACCGTAGAGCAGAATAAGGCCCTTACCCTGCCCAGGGGCGTGAAGAACCGACATTCATTGATTCAATATTAAAATAAGTTGTTAGATAGGAATCGGCGAAGTAGGTGGAGGTTACGAATACGTATGACCCCACCCTTACACGAAAACAGTGAAGGCTTCACGAGAAACCATAGCCTGTACGTACGCCACCGAAGAACGCCATGCGTTGACAAGAGCGGGCAAACAAATACGTTCAATGTGTCTGGGGCCCTCGCTACAGAAAACATCGTCAAATAGGTGCAACAGGCCGAACCTCAAGGAGGACAAAAAGCCTTGCTAAGAATTTCATCCACCAAGGAAGGGATGAAACCCAATAGGACAAGAAAGACTAACCCGAAACCCCCTTACCCTTAAGAACCCTCGGCAAGGATTAGGAGTCAAGATCAAGGGGTTTGACCCACTAAACCGACTGGGTCCAGACTTCTGGACATCCGAGGGGAACGTGCACGGAAATCATCACGAGAATTCCCCTGGAAGCCATGGAAGAGAAGATCAAACGAAATCATCCGAGGGGATTGTTCATGTTGGGTTATGATCATTGTTTATGCTTTGCCTTATCTGCCTTATCTGTTGTGAACTGCAGATGCTCGTTATAACTGTTGCTTGTGTCTAGCCTTATCTGTCGAGTCATTCCCGGTTTTGAAGCTAGAGTTCGTAGGATATATCTTCATGCTCAAAATGGTTTTCGTATATCTATATATATCTCTATATGTATTGTATTTCAACGCGTTGGAGTGGGTTACCAGCATCTCTCGCTGAACAGATATATTTGGCTTTCAGGCACAGAAGATTAAGTCACTGGAGTGCGCTAGAACTTAGAAGTAGATAGTTTCCCTTTTGACCTGCGTGCCACGTTTACGTATTTACGCTTTGAGGATATTAGTTAGTTAGCCTGTGCACTTGGGTTCTCTAGCCCAGGTGTGGCATATCACCCCGAACGCTTGTATTTATATCTTGGGATTTAATAAGATTCTACCTTTATTATAAGTTTTAAATGTCTTGAAAATCTGGGGTGTTACAGTAGGCCGTGAACTCCTTTAACATCTCCACCGCCTTCTCCTTGTATAGGGTCATCTGGGCGTTCTTAGCCTCACACGTGCCTGAGATCTGCCCTACTATCAATCTAGAGTCAGTTTTGATCCGCAATCGTTCTACTCCCAGTGCCTTGACGAGTGAAGACCGTTCAACACCGCCTCATATTCGGCCTCGTTGTTGGTCGTTGGGAACGAATAGCTCAGCGCGTAATATAGTCGGAACCCTTCTGGTATGATTAGCATGACTCCGCCCCCACAATGTTGTCGACTGGCGGCTCCATCCGCGTGCATCTCCCACCATTCGCCGAAGTTATCTTTCGAGGTGCGTACCTTTTCTTCTTCGCCCGCTGTGCACTCGACCAAGAAGTCGGCCAAGGTTTGGCCTTTTATGGAAGGCCGTGGCTGATCCTCAATCCCGTACTGGGTTAATTCCATGGCCCACTTCACCAAACGACCGGGCGACGAGGGGTTCCGCAAGACGCTCCCCAACGGTTGATCAGTCAATACTCGGACAGTGTGGGCTTGGAAATAGGGCGCCAACTTGCGCACGGTGATTACCATCATAAACTATCTTTTTTAAGGCCGAGTACCGTGTTCCGGCGGCTTTCAAGGAGCGGCTCACATAATATACCGGGTGCTGGGCTCGTTCCTCTTCTCGGACCAGCACCGAGCTCACGGCCTTCGGGGAAGCGGCCAGGTATAAAAACAGAGGCTCACCCACCTGTGGGTTGGACAATACGGGAGGTGTAGAAAGGTATCGCTTTAATTCCTCGAACGACTGCTGGCACTCGGCTGTCCAGGCGAAACCTTCCTTCTTCTTCATGGCTTCGATGAAAGGTAGAGTTTTATCCGCCGCCTTGCTCAGGAAGCGACTGAGGGCAGCCAGTCGACCAGTCAACCGTTGCAGGTCTTTGACGGAGCTGGGAGGCTGCATATCGATGATGGCTTGGACCTTCTCCGGGTTGGGCTCGATGCCTCGCTTGGTAACCATATATCCCAAGAATTTTCCGCCTTGCACCGCGAAGGCACAGTTCTTAGGGTTCAGCCGGAGGTTATATCTTATCATTACTTGAAAGCAGTCGGCCTGATCCCCCGCGTGCTTGCTCTCTTCCCGGCTTTTGACGATCATGTCGTCCACGTATGCGGCCATGGATTTTCCCAACAGATCTTGGAACAGCCGGGCCACCATCCGGGTATAAGTAGCTCCGGCATTCTTGAGTCCGAATGGCATGACTCGATAACAATACACTCCATCCGGTGTCAGTAATGCGGTTTTCTCCTCGTCGGCAAGATGCATGAAAATTTGATGGTACCCTCTGAAGGCGTCCATGAAGCTTAACAGGGCCGACCGGGCGGTTTCGTCGACTAGCTGATCGATCCCAGGCAAGGGAAACGAGTCTTTCGGGCAGGCCTTGTTGAGGTAGGTGTAGTCAACGCACATCCGCCAAGCCGGGGGCTTTGGTACGAGGACTACGTTTGCTAACCATTCCGGGTATTTGACCTCACGAATGTGGCCCGCTGCCAACAGCGTGCTCACCTCCTTTTTCACAAACTCCCTTCGATCATTGGCGAGATACCGTTTCTTCTGCACGACTGGCCGATGGCTAGGATCCACGGCGAGTCTATGAGCGATGATGGATCGGTCGACACCAGGCATGTCCTCCGGACCCCAGGCGAAAACCAGCCGATGCTCTCGAAGCACCTTAATGACTTCCTTTCGCACTTCCTCGGGGAGGCCGACCCCAATTCGGACTCGCCTGTCCGGTTGATCAGGGACAACCTCAACCTCCTCCAATTCTACGGCCGGCTCTGGGCGAGGTATCGTCGCCTTCTTTGGAGGCCTTTCCGTAATCTCATGGACCTACATCTCGCGCTTGCCCATCCCTCGGCAGGCCTGCAGGTAGCAGTCGCGGGCGACTCTCCTGTCGCAACGCACCGTGCCTATCCTACTCGGTGTACGGAATTTCAGGTAGAGATGCTCGATGGAAATCAAAGCTCCTAGGTCCTCCAGGCCCGGTCGACCGAGTATAGCGTTGTGGGAGCAGGCCAGGTTTACCACGATGAATTTCATACTGAGCCTCTGCGCGTCGGGATGACTGCCAATCTCAACAGGCAAGGTGATGGATCCCTCTGCCTCCACCGAGTCCCCCGTAAAACCGGCAAGTGGTGTTTTAACAGGGTTTAGCTATTATCGGGTTAGCCCCATTTTATCGAAGGTCTCGAGGTATAGCACGTTGACGCTGCTCCCCGTGTCAACCAGGATCCGGCGAACGACTACCCACTGATATCCATCGCAATGACCAGCGCATCTCGATGCGGCGCCTTTCCCGTGGGCAAATCTCTATCAGTGAAAGTGATGGGCTCTCGACATGCCTTCTTAGAGTTCTCCTCGCGCCCATATACCGTCCCGACATATAGCTGCCGAGTCCCCACCTTCCGGTCCACCAAGTATTATATTGATAACCGGCTTCTGACGCCACTGAGCCTCGTCTTCCTCAGAAGCCGGCTGCTTGCCCCGACTGCTCTCCGCGGCGGTGGTGGGATCCTCGTCCCCCTGAGTGGCCGACCTCCGCCTCCACTGATTAGGAGGCGGGGTCCCTTGCTGGATGATACCTTCCATGATCTTCTTCAAATAGAAGCACTCTTCCGTGCTGTGAGTGTAAGATTTCTGGTAACGACAGTATTTAGAGGTCTTAACCGCCTCATCGCTTACCGCGTGGTCGTTAGTCGGCGGGGGCGGAGGTGGAGCGACTGCTTGTACCTCGTTCACTGGCCGTTCGGGAACCGGCCGATAGGGTGTACGACGGGCCTGTCGTATGGCCGTCTGGCATCGGGTCGCCGGGTCACTTCCGAGCGCCTTTCCTTTGTATCGGTTCGCGTTCTCTTCCCACCGGCGGATCCTCCGACCTCGTGTTGTCGTTTGTGTTTCATAGCTTGTTTCGTGTTGGCCCTCTTGTTGGTCATGTGTATGGCTTCCGCGTAGGTGGCCGGGCGGTTGTCCCGTAGATCTCGGTATAGCTGACCGGACCGTAAGGACTCGATGAAGAAGGTGAGTGCAGTCTGGTCCTCGACTTCCTCAATGGATTGGATTTCTTTCTGCCAGCGAGCTAGATAGGTTTTCAGAGATTCGCCTTCTTCTTGGAGAATGTCTCCCAGGTGAGTCAGATCCTTCTGGGGCTTAATGTTGGCCGCGTAGTGGCTCATGAAGCGGTCAGCTAACTCCTCGAAACTGTAAATTGACTTGGGAGGCAGTGCCGCTAACCACCTTTGTGCCGAGCCTTTCAGCGTGGGCAAGAAGGCGCGGCACATCACCGGGTCTCGCACTCCCAAGACCTGCATTTTGGCTTGATAGCTAAGCAAATGTTCGCGCGGATCTCCGGATCCATCGAAGGTGGCTTGTTCCAGAAATTTAAAGTCGCCGGGTACTTTGTAGGACATAATCTCGGAAGAGAATGGCAAAGCTGTGAGCAACGTCTACCTAGGGGATTTGGTCTTTCCCCCCATTTGTTCTCTCAGGTCTCGTACCTCTCGGGCCAACTGGGCCTCGTCGCCTTCATTGTGAGTGTGGTTTCCGGTGGACTCTATGCTTTCGCCGACTTCTGATTCGGCCGGTTGGTTATCATGGCGCGTTATGCGCTCGGTCCGTCGCGTTCGAGTTTTGGTTCTCCGGGTGCGAGCTCTTTCCCGACCGGTCTCCCGGTTTCGGGGTCCTGCTGGTGCGCGGCTGGGCTCCCTTTCTCCTAGTCGTTCTCGTGCAGGCTGCCGCCCAGCATTCGGACCCAGCCTTGAGTGGACTGATCGCACTGGCTGGCTCTCTGCCCGTTGATTTTCCTGTCCGTCTTCCGGCCTCTGGGACAGTTGTTGATGGCGAGGCATCGGTCGAGAAACCGACTGTTCCCTCACCCCTCGACTCGCGTCGGCGAAGGCTCGTCCGATCGCGTGGAGTTGTTCCGGGGTGAGGGGTATCATAGGCGGCTGCCGGTTCACCGGTGCCGTTTCATTTCCTTGACTTTGAGCATTTCGTTGGTTCAACTGGTTTCTTAAATCTGCCTCTATCCCGTTGTTCCGGTTGTTTGCTTGGTCTCGTCCTCCCGACATGTTTATGACGCTTTTCCGTTCGACTTCGGGACTCGCCCTGCTCAGAGAGTCACGTAGCTCTTTGTATCGATCCCCACAGACGGCGCCAGTGTTGGTTTTTGGGTTTTCGGGCCCAGGGAGGTCCAACACAACCTTAGTTGGTGGATTCACCTTTCACACAGGGTTGTAAAAGAAAGGGAGGTATTTCTAATGGCTTCAAGTGTGTCTCTCTTTTCTCCTGGGATCAACTTGTCTCTATTACAAGGGTGTAGGAGCCTTTATATAGCAGGCTCCCCTCCTGCCGACTTGAAGGCCATTAATGGCTAACTTCAAGGCTAATTACAACCACCGAGCCGTTGTGTGCCATTACCGGATCGGCTAACGGCTCCTTGAATCCGTAACAGTCTGACCGAGTCTTGCCTTGAATGCCTCCAACGGCTCCGGGGCTGGGTCTTTTTAAATGAGGCCTCTCAATGCTCGCTTAATGGCTCTGAGCCGTCTCTTTTGGACTTGGGCCTGGGCCGACTCCTGGACTCGGCCCAAGCTTTCACTGGGCTTCTTCCACTGCCAGCCCACGTTCCTTGTCTTGGATTCCCTTCTTGGGCCAACCTTTCTTGGGCTGGGGTTCTCACCCCATCAAGAGCAAGCTTCACATGGAGTCAATTCAAGTTGTAGTATGGGATGCAATTTCAAATTGGGGACCAATTAAAAGAAGACATTGAGAGCAATTCAAGTTGTAGTATGGGATGTAATTTCAAATTGGGGACCAATTAAAAGAAGACATTGAGAGCAATTCAAAGGGAATTGGGAGTCGATTTCATAGGAATTGAAAATGGGAGCTAGTTTCAGAGAAATTGAAATTATTGAAAATGGGAGCTAGTTTTAGAGAAATTGAAATTGATTGAAATTGGGAGCAAGCTTCACATGGAGTCAATTCAAGTTGGGAGCCAATGTAAAATTGAAATTGGGAGCCAATTCAAGTTGTAGTATGGGATGCAATTTAAAATTGGGGACCAATTAAAAGAAGACATTGAGAAGCAATTGAAATTGAAATTGGGAGCCAATTCAAGTTGTAGTATGGGATGCAATTTCAAATTGGGAACCAATTAAAAGAAGACATTGAGAAGCAATTGAATTGAGATGAAGTTCAATACCAGGAGAAGTTTGGGAGCCAATTTCGAAGTCAAGGTCAACATAATTCAAAATTAGAAGTAATTGAAGCACCAGGAGAAGTTTGGGAGCCAATTGCAAGTCAAAGTCAATTGGGAGCCAATTACAATGGAGAAATTCAAATTGGGTGCCAATTACAAGTCAATTGAAATTGGGTGTCAATTACAAAGGAGAAATTCAAATTGGGAGGAAGTTCAAAACCAGTTTGAAGTCTGAGAACACCCAGACGTGAGAATGAAGAAGATGAAGAAAAACTTACAGTGAAAATATTCTCACAAAGAAAAATACTAGTCTAACTAGTATGGGATTAAATTGAAGAATATTTTTAAATCCCAAAGATACAAGGACCACTTCAGAGCTGATCAGAGAAGCCATTCTACACAAAACTGAGACCCAGATATTTCCAAGAAACGTGAGAAAACCAGAGGAATATCATATGAAGTTTGGGTACTCATTTACATGGAGATGAAGCTCTATCAACGGCTACCTTATCTTTTCTGACACTTTGCCAGAAATAAGATAAGATCTTGACAAAAGATACAAGAATTCAAAAATGAGATCGTTTCTTTCCAACGGACAGATTCTCATTACCAGCTATAAAATGATGAAGATATGAAGACTTGAAGAGAGCACAGAGCAAAGACGAACTGAATAGAAAAGAGCAGAATATACGAGCAAAGAGCTAAGAGCAAAAATCTCATTTGGTACAGAGCATACCAAAAGAAATCTTCAAGTATGAGAAAAGAAAAAGAACTCGGAGAGCTTCAAAGAGAAATATTCTAAGAGTTCTTAAACCGAGCAAAAACAGGGCATAAAAATCAAGTGCTTTACTTGATACACTCAAAGAGAGAAAAAACTCAGAGTGTTCAAGAGAAATCATTCCAGAGTGTTTCATCTTCATCAAAGAGACCTGCGCATCATTGAAGATCAACTACAGAGTCTTAGAAGTTGGAAGCAAGACAACACTTGTTTTGGAGCAAAACAAGAGAAAGGAAGAAAGTAGCACGGAGCTGTGAAATCCTAGATTGTCACACGGAGCTGTGAGATCCGAAGCAGCAGTGTCGGAGGCACCGGGCGTGATTAGTGCGGGCTTTGTGATCAAAGCACTAGATCACGGGATACGTTTCTACCGGAGTGTGGAAGACGGGGGGAAAGTAACGCGGAGTCGTGAAATCCTGGGATAGTAGCGCGGCGACGTGAAACCTGAAGCAGCAGTGTGGTGTCACTGGGCGTGATTAGTGCGGGCTTGGTGATCAAAGCACTAGATCACGGAATTCATTGTATATTGGAACCAAGAAGTGGTGGATATAGTGAATTGCTCTTGGAGAGAAGAGCAAGTGGAGTAGGTGGATTACACCACCTCCGAACCACTATAATTGTCTTGTGTTCTTTACTGCTTTCTTTACTTACTGCTCTTTACTTGCTCTACACGAGATATATACTCACACAATCTCACACACCCTTTATCTTTATTTATTTCCGCTGTGCACCATACTCTAACAATCTAGTTAAGAGTTTTGGTTTATCTCTAGCTTATCAATTGTTGTGCTGTGCGAAAAAGTTTGAAAATCTATTCACCCCCCCCCCCCTCTAGACTTTCACCTTACCTCTTTTGGGACCAACAATGAGAAAGTACGTGAGTAAAGGGCACGAGGTTTATTTATGTACCCTCCAGGACTTAGATGCAAAAGATGAGGGCCTAGAAAAGATTGTTGTGGTGAGGGAGTTCCCAGATGTTTTTCCTGATGAAATATCAGGATTACCTCCAGCAAGAGAAGTGGAGTTCTCAGTTGATCTACAACCAGGCACCGCACCCATATCCAAGGTACCTTACCGTATGGCACCCGCAGAAATGGCAGGGCTCATGGGACAACTATAGGAACTACTAGAGAAGGGTTACATCAGACCCAGTGTGTCACCTTGAGGAGCTCCTGTTCTATTTGTGAAAAAGAAAGATGGAAGTATGCGATTATATATAGACCACCGAGAATTAAACCAGGTCATTGTAAAGAATAGATATCCGTTACCGCGGATTGATGATCTGTTTGACCAATTGAAGGGAGCGGGAGTTTTCTCCAAGATAGACTTACGATCTAGATACCATCAGTTGAGAGTGGCGGACAAGGACATACTGAAGACGGCTTTTCGTACGAGATACGGGCACTATGAGTTCACTGTAATGCCGTTTGGATTGACCAATGCGCCAGCAATCTTCATGGACTTGATGAATAGGGTATTCCGACCGTACTTGGACGAGTTTGTGGTAGTCTTCATCAATGACATCTTGATTTACTCAAAAGGGGTGGACGATCATGAGAGGCATTTGAGGATAGTACTACAGATATTGCGGGACCAGCAATTGTACGCTAAGTTGTCTAAGTGTGAATTTTGGAGGGACAGTGTAGCCTTCTTGGGACATATTGTCACCAAAGCTGGAGTAACAGTAGATCCATCCAAGATTAAGGCAGTAACGGAGTGGCCGGTACCCAAGTCTGTCACGGAAGTGCGTAGTTTCTTGGGACTACTAGCAGGTTAGTATAGAAGATTCGTGCACAACTTTTCAATTTTAGCTAAACCTCTCCCTAGTCTCACTAAGAAAGCAGCCAAATATCAGTGGATCGAGGAGTGTGAGACGGCATTTCAGGAACTTAAGCGGAGATTAACCTCGGCAACAGTTTTGACATTACCATCAGGAGAAGAAGGATTTGAGGTGTTCAGCGACGCCACACATAAAGGACTGGGTTGCGTCTTGATGCAAAATGGGAAGGTGATAGCATATACGTCACGGAAGTTAAAGACACATGAGGTTAACTACCCTACGCATGACTTGGAACTAGCTACAGCAGTTTTCGCCCTAAAAATATGGAGTCACTATTTATATGGGGCAATGTTGCAAAAATCGTGCCTAGGCACCGATAATCGGCGCCTAGGCGCTTGGCGCTAGGAGGCCGCCGCGAGGAATGGCCTCGGCGGCCTCCTCCGCGGCCGGCCGGCTAGGCGGTCTAGGCGGCCGCCTAGACCGCCTAATCGGCCAGTTCGGCGATTTTTTTTTTTTTTTTTGACTCGGTTGCCCGATTTGGACAATTTTTTTTTTCAAATCGCGTATTTTTTCGAGATCTATACACTGCATTCAGCCAAAGGCAGTTTGGTCCACTAATTTCTCAAAAAAATGCTTCTTTAGATCTTAAGTTTAGTTTTTTTATGTGTTTAGATGGTTTAAACAATCTTTTGAACAATTTTACAACCACTTTTGTAAATAGTGTCTAAGAAATAACTATGGAAACCTTATGTTTTAGTACTAAATTTTTAATTTTAAAATTTTTTTAATTAAAAAAATAAAATAAAAATAAAATAAAAAATAAAAAATCGGCGCCTAGGTGCCCCCTTGGCGCCTAGGGGGCGCCTAACGTTTTTTGCAACATTGATATGGGGTGAGATGCAAGATCTACACTGATCATAAAAGCTTAAAGTATATCTTCACCTAGAAAGATCTGAACATGAGACAGCGACGATGGCTAGAGCTGATTAAGGACTACGATTTAGAGATCCAGTATCATGACGGAAAAGCAAATGTATTAGCCGATGCCTTGAGTAGGAAGTCTTTTCACTCCTTGGGAGGTATCTGGGTGGTGCCGGACGAGTTATTTAGGGAGTTTCATCGGTTAAATTTGGAAATAAGAAATTGTGGCGAAGTTAAGCAAGAGATGGCATTGTGTACTTTGAGGGTCACACCGAGCATCTTTGAGGAAATAAAGGAGAATCAACATGGAGATGTCAACTTAGAAAGAATTAAGGCCAAGATGGTCGATGGGAAATGCAGACCTTTTGAAATGTATCCGGATGGGAGTATTAGGCATGAGGGACGTTGGTGCATACCTATGAAATGCGGAGAGATTAAGAAGCAAATCATGGAAGAGGGGCATTGTACACCCTACTCAGTAAACCCCGGTGGAGACAAACTGTAAGGAGATAGCCGAGTTCGTACAACGATGTTTAAATTGTCAAAAGGTTAAAGCTGAACGGATTGGGCATCCTGTTCCCTTAATTCGGGAACTTTCTCGGTCTAGAACCTTGCCAAGTCGAGAGTTTCCAGGTAAAACAACATCTTCTGTTGCCACTACCAGTGAACTTTTCCGGTCTTTCAGCCGAACCACTTGGTACCAAAGGTACCCGAGTCATGGGAATACATCCCTCGGTGCTCCCACCATCTTATGAACCAACGTTCACTGGTGGGGCTTGGGAATTTGCAACATTGTTGCCATTCCCACCATTGTTGTTCTCAACAACATTCTCCTCCCCATGAACTGGCAAAACGGGGTTCTCCATTTCTTCTAGGAAATTAGAGATAAACAACCACCAGGAAACGTAAATATGGTTTTAAGATTGTTGTTGGTAGGATATATCCCGACCGGCATGCCACGTCTTTTCTTGTTATTTGTGCAGGTTTGCAGGTCGGATATTCCTGAAGAAAGCCGGTCAGACCCGACTGGCATATCTCCCGACCGATGCTTTCGACACCCGATTGATGGCCCTTGAACGAGAGATCCGAGAAGAAGCACGTGGCAACGTCACACGTTGCCAGGCAGGGCTCGCTGGGAGAAGACACGTGGGTTACATGCCGGCTGGCCGGAATTGTATCTCCAGCTTAGCGGCTATAAATACCCGCGGCGGCTACAATGTGAGGGACTTTTGAGACGATCGATACGCTATTTACAGAGCTGCCCGACCGCAGTCAGTTGGCCCTCGGAATAGCCATTTTAGATTGTATTAGGTCCTTCTTTCGATCAATAAAAGTATTTATTTGCTTTGATTTGGTCTTCTTTAGTATCTTGACCGCTTTACGTGGAATTTATACTATCATTTTGGCACCATCCGTGGGGACCAGTGCACGAAAGCAAACGTTTGACGAGCATCGGATCCATGTATCACCATGTATCCATATATGTAACAAATGGACTAGGAGGAGCAAGCCGATGCAGCCAGTTCTTCCGATCATCAACACACTCAGTACCCGGATTAGACAATCGATCTGAACCTTAATCTATCACCGCCTCACCCGGCTACCCAGAACCCGGTCAACTACATCCAACTGGGGTATCCACCTCCCGGCCAGCAGTTTCCTTTTCCCGGGCAATATCTGTACCCGGTTCCACCTCCACAGTATGGGTATTGGCCCGGTACACCGATGTATTACGCACCGCCGACCGGCTACCCCCAATACATGCCTGTGCACACGACTCCAGCCTCCGCTCCTCCGATATACCCGACCATACAGACCGAGCCAGAGCTTCAGCGCGCCCCCCGGGCTAGGCGCTCGGCTCGTTCGAGGTTGGGGTCGCAGGGTGCCGAGGCCATGGAGGTACCACGGCAGGCTCAGCAGGTACAACCGGAAATGCAAGCCCAGCCGGAGGATCTCGAAGTAGAAGCCAACTGGGCAATAGCATTCCAGCGGCTCCGCCCAGCCATGCGGCAACGATTGGGACCGCAGGACCCGAGCAGGCGCTCGGTAGATTCACCGATGAGAGCCGCCAGCCAGGAGGGATCGTCCGGGCATGGTGGGTCTAAGGCACATCGCCGACGACGTGCCCAGGAACCAGCCCAGACGGTCGGGCATGATGAGACCCGAGGAATGCTCGACGACCTCCGAGCGGAATTCACCCGGTTCCGAAACGAGCACGCTGTGAGTCCTTCGGTCGATCAATCACCCTTTTTATTGAGGACACCCTTCACGGCGGAAATAATAGCTCAGCCTTACCCGCTCGACCTGCAAGTCCCGGGCAACAAAGAGTATGATGGGCGTACAGACCCTGAGGTTCACGTCAACACCTACTACGGCAACATGATGATGATGGGCGTGTCTGACGTCGTAATGTGTAGGGCTTTTTATTCCACGCTCACTGGTCGGGCGACGGAATGTTTTAGAACGTTTCATCCCAGTTCCATCGCAGATTTTGAAACTTTGGCGAGGAAATTCAACCGGAAGTTTGTGACCTCTAAGGTCATAAGAAAGCCCTATATGTACTTGGAGAAAGCCAAGCAACTAGAGGGGGAAAGCTTGTCTGAGTTCTTGGTCAAATAGAAAGCAGCGGTCGGGGAGGTCGAACCGATGGACGATCTCACCGCCATCCACATGCTCCACATTTCCCTCCGGGCCAGTTATTTGTATCAGGATTTCATCCTCCACCCGCCGACCACTTATGAGGAAGCTCTCCGTAGAGTGACGGATTACGCCAATACCGGTGAGGCGAACACCGTCAAGAGATCCCAGGAGGTTGGGACTTCATCCCGGAAACCCTCCGGTCGGGCGGAACATCGATTAGCTGACGACCATCCCCGATCTCGTACCTGGCCAGGAGAGTTCACGACGCTAAACCGATCAGCGGCAAAAGCAATGCAGTACGCCCAATCTTGCAACCTCATCAAGTTACCTCCTCCCGAACCAGAAGGCAGAGACAAATCGAAGCATTGCGCTTATCATCGTTGCGTCGGGCACGATACGGAGGAGTGTACACATTTGAAACAGCTGCTGGAAGATTTGCTTAACTTGGGAAAGCTGGACAAATGTGTGGGCAAAAGAGTAGAGAGCAAGAAATATGGTGATCGAAGAGACCATAGGCGCTCCCACAATCGCTCAGATCGTTCTGATCGTTCGGATTGGTCGAGTCAAGATCGCAGAGACCCCGAGCCTCCATCCAGTAGCCGACCGGCGGCCAAACCGACCATTCATGTGATCTTCGGCGGTTTGGAAGACGCATCCCGACCTCGGGAGAGCTGCCCGGTCGTGATCGTAGACTCCCGTGAAACCGGGAAAAGACAAAAGATGGAGCCTATCACTTTCTCTTTGGAGGATCAACCGGAGAGTGGTGACCACGGGATTGAAGCCCTCGTGGTCACAATTGATATTATGGGGACTGATGTCCAGAGATTCATGGTGGACACCGGGAGCAGTGTTAACGTCTTTTATTTGGACGTATTTGAGAAGGTGAAGTTGGACAAGCGCGAGCTGGTTCTGGTCGGCGGACCCTTGTCGGGATTTATCGGGGCCCTCATTCGCCCCGAAGGAAAAATTATGCTCCCGGTCGAGATCGGCACCCCGCCCAAATCTGTGAAGACTGAGATGGAATTCGTTGTGGTCAATCTCCATTGTGTCCACAATGTTATCCTGGGCCGACCGGCCATTATGAATGTCGCGGAATCATTTCCATGCCGCATTTGTGCATGAAGTTCCCCACCCCGAACGGGGTTGGTGTTGTACATGGTGATGTCCAGACCGCGAGGAAATGTTATACCCGGGCCGTCAATAAGCGTGATACTGGCACCTCGTCCCGTGTGAATACTATTGTCAAGGAAGCCACCACTGACCGGAAGGAGCAACCCGAGCCTTCTGAAGATCGAAGAAGTTCCCATGTCCAAGGAACGACCGGACAGGAAGATCAAGATTGGTCGGGCCCTTACCCCCGAGCTACGATTGAATGTATTGGCGATCCTCCGGGAATTTACCGACATCTTTGTGTGGGGGCCTGAAGATATGCCCGGGATCGATCGTACCGTATCTGTCATAATCTTGCTGTAGATCCCGCAGCAAAGCCGGTCGTGTAGAAGACTCGACACTTATCCTCCGATCGCCGAGAGTTCGTTAGAGAGGAGGTCAAAAAGATGGCGGCAATCGAGCACATCCGACCGGTCATCTATCCCGAGTGGGTGGCTAATATTGTTCTTGTTCCTAAGCCCCCAGCATGGAGGATGTGCATCGATTTCACTGACCTCAATAAAGCATGCCCGCTCGACCCCTACCCGCTCCCGAGTATTCATCAAACGGTCGACGAGACGGTCGGGGCCGAGCTCATGAGCTTTATGGATGCATTCAAGGGCTATCACCAGATAATGATGCACCATGAAGATGAGAGCAAAATAGCCTTCGTTACCCCGGATGGATTGTATTGCTACCGAGTGATGTCGTTTGGCCTCCGCAATGCAGAAGCAACCTATCAGAGGATGGTCAACATGCTCTTTGCGGATCTTGTAGGCCGAACGATGGAAGCTTACATCGATGATATGCTGGTTAAGAGTCGGGACCGAGCCGACCACACTCCGGATCTCCGGGAATGTTTTCAGATCATGAGGCGTTACCAGTTGCGATTGAACCCTAACCAGTGCACATTTGCGGTTCAAACGGGAAAGTTCCTCGGCTACATGATGACTAAAAGAGGAATCGAGCCCAACCCCGCCAAGGTCAAGGCTATCCTGGTTATGCAACCGCCCACGACCGTTCAGGAGGTGCAACAATTGACCGGCCGGTTGGCAGCCTTGAGCCGTTTCCTCTCCAAACTAGCCGAGCGCGGCTTACCATTCTTCAAGGTATTGCGCAAGGTAAATGGGTTCGTCTGGGACGATGAGTGCCGAGCGGCTTTTGACGAGTTGAAGGAATATATGATGTCCCCGATCGTGTTGTCAAAACCCGAGCTTGGAGAAGAGCTAGATGTTTATCTCGCCGTATCCGATCGAGCAGTAAGTGCGGTTCTATGCCGAACAGATTCGGAGGGAGTCTAGCGACCGGTCTATTATGTGAGCCACGCGCTTCATGGTGCCGAGCTCCGGTACTCCCAGCTAGAGAAGGTCGTCTAAGCTCTATACATAGCCGCGAAGAAGTTAGCTCCCTACTTTCAAGGTGGAGCTATCTATGTGTTGACCGATCAGCCGATCGGACCAGTTCTCCGTACTGCTTCTTCATCCGGTCGCCTAGTCAAGTGGGCGTTGATGTTGACCCAATATGCGATCAAGTATCGACCAAGACCAGCAATTAAAGGTCAAGCCCTGACGGATTTCTTGGTTGAGTGCACCGCTCGGGACACATGACCCCCGGAGGTCGAGGATCCCTATGCGGAGTGGTGGTCGTTAGCGACCGATGGGTCTAGCAGCAAAAAAGGAGCAGGATGAGGGATCGTGGTTACAAGCCCGGAGGGTTTCAAGGTTTATTTTGCATTGATGTATCAGTTCCATCCGACCAACAATGAAGCCGAGTATGAGGCCTTTGTTAATGGCCTACAATGCGCTCGGGACTTGGGGGCTGAATACATCCGGGCTCAGACCGATTCTGCACTAGTGGTCGGGCAGGTCTTGGGTGATTATGAAGTTAATGGAGAGCGCTTACAAGCTTACCGAGACCTCGCTATGGAGAAGCTCACTTTGTTCCGGGGATACACCGTTCGGCATGTTCCACGACTAGACTATGCTGATGCCGATATTTTGTCTAAGTTGGCACAAGACGCCCCGGAACACATGTCCAAGATCGCTCGGATTTTAATGATCCCGAGGCGTAGCATTCACCGGTTGTCGGTCGCACCCATCCAACCGGCGGAGGAAACTTGGATTTCGGATTTTATGGATTATCTCCAGCACGGTCGGTTACCAGAAGACCCTCAGTGTGCCCGGAAAGTTAAGCTCAGAGCTCCAAGGTTCTAGGTTCAAGAAGGCCGCTTGTATAGGAGGTCATATAGAGGCCCGTTCATGCGTTGTTTGACGTCGTTTGAGGGCAGATTTGGTTATGAACGAATTGCACTCGGGCATCTGTTCGAGTTACCAAGGAGGCCGATCGCTCGCCCGTCGTATTATGGTGATCTGGTATTATTGGTCATCTATTCAGCTTGATTGTGAGAAGCTCGCAAGAGGGTGTGAGACATGTCAGTTGTTTGCTCGGATGCTAGGACGACCGGCCACATTCTATCAGCCAGTCACGACTGCAATTCCTTTTGCTCGTTGGCGGTGGATATTTTGGGACCATTCCCTCAATTATTCGGTCGGAGAAGGTTCGTCATTGTCGCTATAGACTATTTCTCCAAGTGGATCGAGGCCGAGCCATTAGCCACGATCACTTCCCAGTAGTGTGCCAGGTTTTTGTGGCGAAGCGTCACTTCCCGGTTCAGCGTGCCCATTCATCTCATCAGCGACAACGGCCGGCAGTTCGTGAGCCAGTACTTTCAAAACTTTCTGGCAACGATCGGGAAAACCTCCATCCGATC